ACGGGGCGGATACCGCATATGGGGCGGGGGGATTCCCGTTTTCGGGGGGAGGATGCCCGGTTTTGGGGGGATTCCCGGTGCCAGCCGATCCCGCGTGTCCCCCCCTCGTTGCCATGGCAATGTCCCATCTCTCCCCCCAAAATGGTGGAAAAAGGGGGCAGGGGTGTCCCCGTGGGTCCCCCCCTTCTCCGCCCCTCCCCGTTCTTGCGGCGGGGATCCCCCCGGTCCCACCGGGACTGCGGGATTCCCCCAAATCCCATGGGAAATGGGGGCGACCCGCCGGGGGATTCCCCCCGGCATGGAGGGGTTCCCCCAAATCCCCTAAAGCGGGGGGGGGACCCCGGAAATGTTCTGGGGTCCCCTCAATTCCCCCCTGATCAAATGGGGCGGATCCTGGATTTGGAACACGATTGGGAATAGGATTGGGAATGGGGAGCGGGAACGGGGAATGGGAACGGGATGGGAAAAGGAATGGATTGGGAAGGGGAGGGGAATGGGAAGGGAATTCCCGGGATGGGAACAGGGGGATCACACTCCTCATTCCAGGAGCAGCGGGAATGGGGATTCCCCCCTCAGGAACAACCCGGGGGGGGTCCCAAGGACAGGGAAACCCCCCCAGTGCAAGCAGAAATCCCACCCCCAATTCCAGCGGGATCTTCCACATTTTCAGGGATAAAACTGAGCAAACAGGGAAATAATCCCCCCAAACCCTTCCCAAATTATTCTTTCCCCAATTTAATCGGATTTTGGTTTTTTTTTCTCTTTAAATTTTTAATTGGATTCAAACACACCAAACTCACACAAAGAGGTGGAGGGGGGAGGGGTCATTCCTCCCTGGCTGGATTTGGGAATTCTGGGATGTGGAACAGGGCCAGCCTAGGGGGGGCAGCCCCAAAAGTACAGAAAAGGATGAGCCTGGATGAATCCCATGGGATTTTGGGAAGCCTGGTGGCACCTCCAGGCCGATTCCTGGGAAGGAATTTCAATCCCAAAGGATGGGGAAAAGGGAAGGGGGAAAGCCAGGATCAGCATTCCCGAGGATCCCGGCATTCCCCAGGGAGCTCAGCACCCCCACAGGGATCCCGGGAATGTCACCTCCCCTTCCCAAGGCTCCTGAGCCGGGATCAGGAAAGGGGAAAAGGGTCGGGAAAAGCAGGAATTTCCCTCCTCCAGGTGGATTTGGGGCTCCAGCATTCCAGGGGACAGCGGGAATGTCACCCGGAGCGTCTGGCACTGCTGTCCCCACCCCAGGACAGGCTTTTCCCACTCCTCCCTGAGGGATTTTCCCTCTTCCCAACGTTTCTGCCCCAATCCCAATGGAAACAGGACCAAGGATAGCCCCGGTCCCAAAGGAAATGGCACCAGGGACTGTGGGGATAGGCCAGTCCCGGAGGAAATGGGATCACAGGTATCCCGA